CGGGGGGCCCTTCTCGCCACCAAGAGAACTCACGTCGGAGGACCGCTGCCCGCGCTCGGAGTCGGGCTCCTTCACCGCGGGAGGGATGGTCCACTGGTGGAACTCAAACATCCTCATGATGCGCATCAGCGGGCACAAAGCCCTGCCCACTGAAGGGACCGCCATGGAATTACCCAAGGCGGTCTGGATCATGTTCTTGGGCACGGCGGTCGCGATGGAGTCCGCTCGGAACCCCACGCAGGCAGCCTTCTCGGCGCACGAGAGGCACCGCCCCTTGTGGCCGACAACGCCGGCGCAGGAACCGAGAAGCCAGAGGTACTCGTTCCTCGTTGTCAGGCAGGGCAGGGCCCCTGCCTGGAGGATCGCGCCGTAGACCTTGTCGGGGCGCCTGGTCAAGTCGGCGACCGCCAGGGCACATCCCGTCTTGGCGCGCAGCTGGGCGAACATCTCGTTGTAGGCCTTCGCTAGTGACAGGGGTGCCACTCGCTGCTGAGAGGCTATCTTCCTCTTCATTCTCCTCCTCATTGTTTCATCTTCTCCTACGCCTCCTGTGTTCCGCTCCTCCTCCTCCCCCATCATCCTCCTCCTCCTCCTCCTCTCCTCCTCCTCCCCCTTCCTCCTCCTTTCTCTTCCGCATTCTCCTTCTGGCCCTCAACGCCACCCCCCCTTTACCTCCTCCTAGCCACCTCCCCTGACGAAGGTCGGGTCGGGGCATGGGGGAGGGGTTGGGAGAGGGCGACGCTGGACAGGGAGGAGACACTTAGGCGCGAAGGCGCGCCTCCACGTTGGCGCTAAGACCTGGCGCCGATGGGATCTCCCGCGCGTCGCTGGGCTGCAGGAAGTCCTCCAGCGGCACGGGCTTCTCGGGCTGCAGGGGCTGCAGCAGCGAGAGTGAGTCCACGCCGAGCCTCGCGCTCGCGGACTCGGCCACCCTCAAGCCCGACCTGCGAATGCCCAAGATGAAGACCCGATTCCTGCGGCACGGGACGCAGTCACCAGCAGCATCGACTGCGTGCCACTTCACCTCGAACTCCTCGCTGGATCAGCAAGCGAACTCAAGCTCCTCCTCCTGCTCCTCCTCCTCCTCCTCCTCCTCCTCCCCCTCCTTCTCCCCCTCCTCCTCGTCCTTCTCCTCCTGCTCCTCCTCCGCACTCCCCTCCATTCACTCACCCCCCCTCCTCCTCCTCCTCCTCCTCTCCTCCTCCTCCTCCTCCTCCTCCTCCTCCTCCTCCTCCTCCTCCTCCTCTTCCTCCTCCTCCTCCTCCTCCTCCTCCTCCTCCTCCTCCTCCTCTCCCTGATCCTCCTCGTCCCCTGCCTCCTCTCCCGCGCCTCCGAACCAGGGAAGATCCGCCAACGTGCGTTGGCGGCAATGATGTTACCCCCCTTCCTGTTCAGAACGATCTCCGGGGGCGGGGGAGGGCGCTGCTTCCCCCGCGGGCCGGCAAGCTCTCGGCGAGCCACGGAAGCAGCTCCGACTCCAAAAACGAGGGGCCGTTCGCGCGGCGCCTGCTGATCCCAATGACGTTCTCCAGGCAGAACCACAGCAGCCTCTTGGACGCCTGCCACTGCAGGAGTTCCTTCATCTTCAGATAAACCTGGGCAATGGAAATGCGCCCAGCGCGGCGGAGGAGGGCGGGCGCGGTGGAGATGGAGAAGAGAAGGAGGAAGGGGCCCCGGGGGAGGGGGCGTTTGGAGCAGGAGGAAGCGGAGGAGGAGGAGCAAGAGCAGAAAGGGAGGGAGATGGGGATGAGGAGGAGGAGGAGGAGGAGACGCGAGGAGGACGAAGGACGAGCAGGAGGAGAAGGAGACAAGGAGGTGGAGAAGGAGGAGGAGGAGGAGGAGGAGGAGGAGAGGAGGGCGAGGAGCGAGAGCGAGGACGCGGAGGAGGAGGAGGAGGAGAATCGAGAAGGAAGGAGAGGAGGAGGAGGAGGGGGAGGAAGAGGAGGAGGAGGAGGAGGAGGAGGAGGAGGAGGAGGAGCAGTTCCTCCGCCTCCGCTTCCTCGTCCCTCCACCTCTCGCCTCTCCTGATTCCCCCCATATTGGGCGAGCCCTCTACACCTTACCAGTCGGCCTCCTCCTCCGCCACTCGGGCCACATAATCGTGGAGATTATCTTCGTGGGGTACATCAAGATTGGGCATGGGAAGTTCACCGCGCTCGGACTCGAACAAGTAACGTGCTGTCCTTTAGCGGAGCTCGCCCTACATCGCCACGATCCTCGAGATTCTGACACGCCCCAAAAGTCCTCCAGCTGATGCGCTCGAGGGTCTTCGGGATCGCGCTGACCTCGACGATCGTGCTGATGTAGGGGCTAGCCCGCCAGGCCCGAGAAGCCATACGCAGGAAATCAATCGATACACGCATGATCGCGTCATGCGTAAGGAGCGCATGGCGGGCCTGCTCAGAGATGGCCCCCTGAGCCCCTTGGCCCCCCCTGGACCCCGTCCATCTTGGGCAAAACAGCTGTATTGCGTTTGTGCTAAGAGGCGCCTTGTGGCCCTCGACTTTCGATCTTGGTTCCTGGACGGATTCGACATTTCGATGATTTCGCCATCATGCAATTTAATTCGGGATTCGGGATCATAATCGACGTGCGTTGTCGTCGCCATGACGCACGCCGTGATCTATATTCGCCCTCGTGTTTCGTCTCATGCCTCGTACCAATCCCACCTCCCTCATCCCTCATCCCTCACCTCGGGCCCCCCTCACCCTCTCACGCCTCGTCCTCCTCACCATCCACCTCGCCTCCAGATCATTGAAAACACCCCCAATGCTCCCGTGTGGGTCCACCCCCGAAATCGGTGTTACCACCCTCCCAGGCTTTTGTTTCCCTGGCGTTGGACCTGAGCTCTCTCGTCCTGCATGCCCTTTTTGCTGCCCAGGAAGCTCCAAGGCGGGCAGGGAAACCCGCGCACGAACCCCTCGCTGGGAAGGAAAGGAACGGGGCCTTCCACCAGGTCGCCCTTCACGGTGAAGCGCAAGATGTCGCCGAAGACCTCGCCGGCGGCGGGAGGCACGCGGCGGGGCGGGGGGGCGCGCGGCCCTGGCAAGAGAAACGGAAAGGACGAGCAGGAGGTTGGAGGGAGGAGGATGAGGACCAGGAGGAACGGAGGAGGACGAGCAGAACGAGGAGGATGGAGCAGGACGAGGAGGAGGAAGAGAAATAGGAGGAATAGGGGGAGGAGAAAGGATGAGGGAGGAGGAGAAGGGGGAGGAGGCACGGAGAAGGAGGAGCAGAAGGAGGAGGAGCGAGTTTCAGTTGCTTTCGATGGGGCGAAGGGGGAAGTTCCCCCCACGTGGGTGCGACTCCTGGGTCGTGGCGCGCCTGCGCTGGTCAGCGTTGCTCAAGCGTGCTAACACACCTAACGAGAATCGAACTAGAATGGGGAATCTGAGACGCCATGGAGGAACCAACCACCCCCAGTCTCCAGGTCCCCAACACCCCCACCCCCAGACCCAACCTCCCCCAGAATCAACCTTCTCCTGCCCCCATTCCCCGTCCCCAACATTGATCGATCGTAGTGGACGATGGGACAGTCAGCGTCTGCATCGCGGCCCTGTGCCCGCCCGTGAACCAGTGGACGCGCAACAGAATCCGAAGGCGCACCTTGCCTCAAAGTGCACAGACAGAGATGCTCGAAATTCAACCGAAGCGAATGGAGCGGCTGTCTCGCGCAATGACGGTCAAGCCGCGTCGCGAAGACAAATTTGCGATGCATGGCTTAAGCGTAAGATCTTGGCCATGATGCATCCATACAGGGGACGTCCGACTCCACAAGAGGAAGAGGAACTGGGAGGAGGTGGAGGGTGATGAGAGACACAGGGGACAGCAATTACATCAACAGAGGCACCCTCTAAAGTAGTTGGAGGATTGCGAGGAAGGGAAAGATGGACGAGGAGCAAGGAGGAGGAGCCCTGCGCCCTTCAATTCATCACCTTCACCTTCTGACCTTCAATATGTCCTGCGGCAGAGTGAGAGGCGAGTGGCGGGTGAGGGGTGAGAGGTGAGAGGTCGGTCATGAGAGGAAGGGTGAGGCGCAATGGCTTGTACTAGACCAGCCGAGAACACTGCAAAATTCGGAATCATGCTCGGCGTCGCCAAGTGGGCATGCGGCATCCCCCCCACCCATGGGATCACCATGCGATCTCAGCCCTGTTTGGTCCCTCCCTGGAATCGATCCTGGATCCCTGGTGGCCTGTTCGGAAAAAAAACACATTTCATGTCCTCCACAATTCTTCTGCCTGAAGTCTTGAAGGGGGGATCGGGTCAAAGGGCTGAGACTGAGAGCCAGCGCTGTCTGTCCAGCTGCGACGTAGCTTCGACAGCACGGCAACGTGCCCCTTAAACTCTGGCGACGCTCCAATTGCAGGGGGGCAAGCGCGGCATCGAGGACGCTGGGCGCTCTCCCAGCGACAGACTGCAAGCTAGCGAGACGGATAGAAAGAGAAAGAGAGAATGAGAGAGAGAGAGAGAGAGAGAGAGAGAGAGAGAGAGAGAGAGAGAGAGAGAGAGAGAGCGACACCGACAGACAGTCGTAGAGACGCGTAGGCCGACAGCTCGACAGATAGAAGGAGACAGACAAGCTGAGAAGCGACGCGGGGACGAGAGGATGGGAGAATAGATCAGCATGGGGGTCGAGAGTAGAGAAAGACAGTAGGAAGGCTTGAAGGTGAGGACGACGAGAACGACTAGGATAATGAAAAACAATGTGTATAGCGTTGGCAGTGGAAGGCGTGGAGGGAGGGAAGAGTGTCGGATGATAAGAAGTAGGCCAGCACTGGATGGAGGGCAGGTTGACTAAGTGGTTGGATGAGTCAAGGAGTTGAGGGGAAGAGGGGGGAGAGAGATAAGCCACCTACCTCAAGCAAAAGAACTTCTGGTGCCACCTACCCGAGCACCCAAAACGAAGCGGGAAGGCGCGCTATCGCACCTTGCTGGTAGCGGCTTGCGCTGCGCTACCTGAGACGGCCGCTGGGCTGCCAGCATCGCTGCTCAAGGTCTCACGCAATGGGCGTCGTGGCTTTCTCCTGGGCAACGAGGTCGTTCAATTTCTCCCACCACTGCTCGTAGGCAGTGCCACGGAGGGCCGCGCGGGCCTCCATGACACTGGCGACGACCATCTGCGTCGCGGCGAGTTCTGATGGCCACCCTCCCGAGAAGCCCCAGCGCAGCCCCTGACACACCACTGGACGATGAATCAAGTAGATGAAGCTGCACGGTAAAATGGCGAGGTGGCCCTCAGGGATGACGAAAGCGAAGTCGGCGATCGAGAGCAAGGCGGCCCCTGTCTGGCTCTTGAGCCACTGCACCTGCTCAGCCAACGAGTCCTCCTTCTTGGCACGCACTCCGACAAATAACTCTTCTCCGACTGTGAGAAGGCGCACTTCACTTACCCCGTAGGCTGGCGGCCCGGCCTGGCAATGCCCGCCAGGGGTAACGAACACCTGCACACCGTAGACCGCTTTGTGGAGCGCCTGATCTTTTGGCGAGATGGGGACGCAAGGGCTCTTGAAAACGATCGGCGACGCCACAATCTGACGAAGCGTTGCAAGCACTGTCGGCTGCGTAACCGCTCCGTACACAGGGGTGGGTTCATCGCCCCAGGCCTGGCTCTTGTCCTTCATCCACTTGAGTAAGACCTTGAACCCACTATCGGTCAGCAGCTTCTTTGAGGAGGCACTGACATCGACAAGGAGAGAATGGCCAAAGTCGAGATTGGACAGGGAGGAGCCTGAAACTTTCGGAGCGCTCTTGACCGTGGCCTTGACGATGTTGAGTGCCAAGCGGTAGTCAGCAGACTCTTCTCCGATGTTTACGGCTGGCGACGCCCCGGCCTTCCTCTTCTTGGCGGTGCCGCCGCTGGACGTCTTCGCCAAGAGCTGGCGGCACTCCGCCAACATCTTTTTCGTCGGGGTCTGGTGTGATGTCTCAGCACGCGCCTCCATGCAGATGCATTTCAACTCCTCCTTAACTTTGGTCATCGACTGGTCCCATTTCCCCTCCTCGATAGACGAGCTCAACACAGCCAGCTTATCCTTGATCCTCGTGGCCTCCGCATCTGAAGCATCTTTGAGAGCGACAAGTTTCGTCTGGAACGGCGCCCAGGGTTCATCCGACAAGTCTTCGATCGAAAGCTTGCTCCTCATGTACTCGAGTACTGAGATGCCCTCGCTAACTTGACAGTCAAGTGCAGAAGTCAGGGCGCTCTCTGTTTTGTTGACAAGCTTCGTGGCGTTCAAACGAAGCGTCACTGGGTTGACCTTTGCCGTCTTCTGATCCCTGGCAGCGTTCTTAGCATCGATGTCCTCCATCAGCTCCAAGCGAGACGCTGCGCGAACCTTGTCGGCCCGCTCGGTCTGGGCATTCATGAACTCGCCAAGGGAGGCCGACAGCCGAAAGGAGCCGTCAGCGGAGGTGTTCACCAAGTTCTCCACGAACTCCTCTGGAACAGCGACATGATCAGCTGGATCGCCCATTGAACAACTGCTCCTCTGGGCTTGCTGGACATCGGCCAAGCTGGAACTGACGTTGCTCGTCATCGCCTGGAGCGCCGCCTCGAGCTGGTCGGCCGTCATGGTGCTGGAGCTCTCCTTTTCCACGCTGGCCTCTGTCGACTTCGACAATACGTTGTCCTCGAAAAAAACCTGAAATTCTGCGATGAGGAAGCCGCCCTCGGAGCGAGGGCATGGGCGAACAGAGTACTGCCTGCTCATCACCCTGCGCCTGAACTCGATCTGTTGCTCCTTCGGGTCCTGTATCCCTTCCAAATACATGTCGCGCTTTATCAACCTGTGCGGCTTCCAATGCACCCGCTCGCGCGACTCGTCGCTGGCCTTCGTCGTCGTCTTGGCGCTGAGTTTCATCATCTCGCCAACTTCCTTCGGGCGGGCTAGGGGGCTGAGAGAGGCAGGTCTGAAGCGATGAAAGGTGAGGGAGCAAGCAGCATGACAAGCGGGAGGAGGAGGAGGACGAGGCGGAGGCCGGGATGGGAGTGAGAGACGAGGCAAGCAAAGCAGGAGGGGAAGTTGAGAGTCGAAAGTATGACAAGGGGAGGCGATGGAGGAGGAGGGAGGAAGGGAGGCAGCCAAGGGGAGGAGGGAGGAGGGGAACGACAAGGGCCGGGGAGCGCCTCCACCCTCCACCCGATTTGACGCATTCAGGTGTTGACCGACATGGAGATCGAGATGGACCAGGCGGGAGGCGTCGGTGATGGCCAGGGCTTGCCATAAGTTATCCTCCTTATTCTTATCCTCTCCCTTTTCCTCCTTGTCCTCTCCCTCTTCCTCCTTGTCCTCTACCCCTTTCTCCACCTCCTTGTCCTCTCCCTCTTCCTCCTTGTCTTCCCCCCTGCTAACCAATCCTCCTCATCGTCGTCCCCCTCATTATCCCACTCCTCCACTCCTCATCCTGCTACTCCCTCCTGCTTGCCCACCCTCTCCCTATCTCCTCATTTCCTCCTTCTAGCCCAACAGTCCTCGACCGCGCAGTCCCTGTGGTCGAGGTACCACTGAACCTTATCAGCCTCACTCTTGGCGGAGAACCAATCCTTGAGGGACTTCTGCTTCTTGAAGCGCCTCGTCAAAGTGCGGGAATTGAGGTAGCACTTTGAGCACGTGTCTTTGGCGCACTTCTTCGCCTCGTGATCATCCACTCGCTCATCCTCAGGCAGAAGCAACCTGCACTTGCAGCAAGTGAACTGGCCAGAATCCTCTGTGCCGATGGCGTCGATCTCCTGATACATCTCACTCAAGTCAACAAGCCCCTGAGGTGTTTTCGCACCTCCCACTGGCGCCCCAGGATTCCTAGGATGATCGGGCCCATCAAGCTGAAGCGCTTCACCAGGTGGTTCCAGCCCATTCTGCTGGCTCTGCTGAGGTAGCACAGCAGCGGACGCCATCCCCTGATCAGGTAGCACAGCAGCGGCCGCCTTCCCCTGCGCAGGCTGAGGTGACTCAGCAGGCGGCGCCTTCTGCTGAGATGGCTGAGGTGGCACAGCAGCGGCCGCCTTCCCCTGCTCAGGCCCAGACTGAGGTGGCACAGCAGCGGCCGTCTTCCCCTGCTGCTGAGGTTCGGGCGGCACAGCAGGCGGCGCCTTCCCCTGCTGGAGCTCAGGCGGCGCAGCAGGCGGCGCCTTCCCCTGCAGCGGCTGAGGCGGCTCAGCAAGTGGCGCCTTCCCCTGCCGAGGCTGAGGCGGCTCAGCAGGTGGCGCCTTCCCCTGCTCAAGCTGAGGCGGCTCAGCAGGCGGCGCCTTCCCCAGCTCGGGCTCAGACTGAGGTGGCCCAGCAGCGGCCGCCTTCCCCTGCCCAGGCTGGAGCGGCACAGCAGCTGGCGCCTTCCCCTGCGGCGGCTGAGGCTGAAGCGGCACGGCAGCTGGCGGCCCAGCTGCGGGCGCATCGGCGCTGCTCGCCCCGCCAGCCGTTGCAGACGATGCCGGCGTCGTGCCGCTGCTCTTCCCCAGCGCCAGCGCCTGTCAGGGCCGCAAGGTGCAAGGCGTTATCATTCCTACCCTGCCTCCTTCCTGCCCAGATTCGTTTAAGGCAGTGCGGCTGCAGGGGCTTGTCTTCGAGTGCCTCTGAGATGCCCTAGAGCGTCTTCGAGAGCCCTCCTCTTGATCCTGGATAAGGAGGGAAGGGGGAGGGGGGGTGAGGAGGGCGGCCGAAGGGAGGCAGGCAGGAAGGAGGAAAGGCAGAAGGGACGATTGGAGGCGGAGGAGGAAGAGAAAGGGGGAGAAGGAGGAGCAGGAGGAGGAGGAGGAAGCATGGTTTCTGATTCGTGAAGGAGCAGGAGGAGCAGGAGGAGGAGGAGGAGCAGGAGGAGCAGGAGGAGGAGGAGCAGGAGGAGCAGGAGGAGGAGGAGGAGGAGCAGGAGGAGGAGGAGGAGGAGGAGGAAGCAGACATCTGAAGATACAGGAATGGGAAGTGGGTTGCAGTTTTCTCAGATACAGCTGCCTGCTGCTGCTCCTTCTCCTTCAAGACGGCCTTGAACGCGCCCTGGATGCCCAATCCAGCAGTCTTCGGCAAGTACTTCTTAGAAGATGACATGTTTGCGAAAAGCCCGCCCGTCAGTCTGCAATTGAAGAGCCACGCAAAGTCAAGAAGTCTTGTGACCAAAACGGCTGCAGAACGATAGTGATCATAACATCGCCCACTTCGTGGTCTCAGGGACGCTCGGGGGGGGGGCTTGCGCTGGGCCCAGGGACCCAGACCCTGGAAGGGCACAAGGAGATCCGAAGCTTATCAAAGGCACTATCCTTTCATTCGACTATAGCTCAGAAGGAACTATGCAACGCCGATCCATAGGGACTCTGCTTCGCGCTCCTCTGGGAGGACAGAGGGGGAGGTCAGAAAGGAATGCGCGGTGCAGCAGGGAGGAGGATGGAGGAGGGAGGAACAGGAGGGAAGACCATGGGTGAGGGAGGGGGGAGAAGAATGGAGGAAGAGGAAGGATGGGTAAGTTTTGGGAGCCTCAAGAATGCCTCAAACATCCAAGTTGTGGCGACCCTCTCCCCCCCACCCAGAACTGCTAGGAGTTCCCGACGCCCACGGTGACCATGACAAAGGAATCAGCGAGAGGGGCAGCTCCCTCCCCCAGCCCGAAAGGTCTTCGAGCTCGCCAAGAACACGATCGAGAGAACGAGCACCAGTGGCTAGACAGCAGGCTGGATGGGGGGTCGGGCGCCTTCCCGTAGTGAATGTCGTCGCCTTTCGCGCCCATCGTCTCGCGGAGCAGCTTGGCGCAGGGGGCCAGGGCGCCCCGGCAGCGAGGAGATGGGAGGGGGAGGAGGGCAGGATGAGATGGGCTGAGGACTCGAGGGAACAATCTGATAGGAGGTTCGATGTCGAAAGGACCCAGGCAAACCATGAGCTCAGCTGGAAGGCCGACATAAAGGATAAGACTGCATGCGCACCCAAGGCCCATGGGGGCCTCTGACGGCCTCTGAGGCCGGCTCACATGAAGGATATGGCCGATGGCTGGACGGGAGTAGGTTGTGGAATCTTGGCCCAAAGGAAGAGAGGAGGAGAGGGAGAGCGCAAGAGAGGGAGCAAGGACAAGGCTTCGCAAGAGGAGAAAGGGTTGACAAGAGAAGAGGGGAGGGATGACAGAAGAGGGGAGGGATGAGAGAGATCAAATGTGGACAACGGTCCGAGATATCAAACACGTTGACCGCCACCCACGGCCACTGGGCCTCCAGCGCGGCCCTCTCTGGAGCTCCGATGCCTCCCCTTCCACAAGGCGCAGGCAGACTGAGGGCCCCCTCCCTCGCTCAAAGGCAATGACGAAGGGCGCGGACGCACCAGGGCAGCGAGACCTCCCAGACAAGAGATTCGGGAAAACGATCCTGAACGCCCTGCAGGAACCGCAATTGGACCCTGGAAGATTCAAGGCTGCCCGAACAGGAAACATAACTGACTGACCATCAGCGGCGGATCGAATACTCATGGCGCAAAATCACAACGACGAAGCATGCCATATCAAGATGCGTCTGACATACATCCACCTAGCGTTTCACAGACAGTGACACTGTGACACTGCCCTGGTCCCCGCCCAACCTGCACACAGAAGCGTCACGCGCATGGGCGCGAGCGGACGCCCGAGCTCAGGATCCACTGAAGCACGAATCCAAGGCGCGTTCATGTCGACGCACTGATCAGGGAGAAGAATCCCTCGAGGGCCCCGGGACAGCGACATGGCGCTGGCAGCCTGGCGCAGGCCGCGTTGATCAAAAGATCAAAAGAGGGTGCCCACCTGCCCCTCAGCCACAAAAGGCTGCAAGGGTGCGCAACGTTGCAATCATGCTCGGCCGAATGCGCGCGCAGACAGTTGCGCGCAGCTCGAGCAGCTCGAGCGAACCACTGCAGTCTGCTGCTGGGCCAGCACAAACCCTGGCAGAATGAAATGCCTCCAAAGACCGACTGTCAACTGCCAACGACCGACCTGGAAACGTCTAACAAGGAGAACGACGAATACGACGAAGGGCGACCTGGAAGTTCCTGGAAACAATTGGCCCCAACAAAGATGTGAATACAACGGGGGGGGGGGGGGGGGGGGGGGGCGATCGTGGCCGAAGGGACACTTCGCAACTGCGAGAAGACTTGGAGGAGGGGAAGGGTGGAAGAGGAGGAGGAGTCCAGGAGGAGAAGGAGGGGAGGAGGAGGGAGCCCAGGAGGATACCAACCACTGCCCCCCCCCGACCACCCCCGACCACCCCCCCGACCACCCCCCGACCACCCCCCGACCACCCCCCACCACCCCGACCACCCCCCCACCACCCCGACCACCCCCCGACCACCCCCCCGACCACCCCCCGACCACCCCCGACCACCCCCCGACCACCCCCGACCACCCCCCGAGAACATGGAGGAGGAGGAGGAGCAGCAGCAGCAGCAGCAGAAGGAGGAGGATGAGGAGGATGAGGAGGATGAGGAGGAGGAGAACCAGGAGGAGGAGGAGGAGGAGGAGGAGCAGCAGCAGCAGCAGCAGCAGGAGGAGGAGAAGGAGGAGGAGGATGATGATGATGATGATGACGCGCCTTGAAAGGTCGGTTCTCCCAAAACACAAACCTGAGAAGCCACCAATACGCCAACTGCGCACGGTAGAGAAAGAGGGAAGGCGGGCAAGAAGCTGGAGAGGAAGGGGCAGAACAAAGATGAATCCCAGCCCAGGATTGAAACCCGAGATACTAAACGACATCATGAATGGAGACTGCCTGTCCGATACTGAAAGAAATCATGATTGAAACCCATGATACTGAAAGAAATCGTGAATGATTGAAACCCATCCTAAATTGAACCCATGATACTGAATGAATGAAATCCATCACCAGGACCCTCTCGCTTTGAATAAAGGTGCGAGCAATGAGAAACGTAATGCAAGGTGATGGGTTATGCTTAAATTGATCAAAATATCTTGAGTGGCTTGAGTAACTCGAGTAACTTGAATAACTCTTGACGCCGAACTTGGGGGCATATGTTCCCACGGCCAGAAGTGATTAAGAAGTGAAGAGAACTTTCTTTGAGTCCCTTGAAGCCCAATATACATAAGTGTCAACCCATTCGAATAAATGTGGTGAAAGAAAGAAAGCCTGACATAAACTGAATGTCTCAAGCACGCAATGACCCAGAAGATACGGAGGCATACAAAGGAAACTGTAAAGCCGAGTGAGCCCAACCGTGAGAGCCCACCCCAGGTGAATCAAGGCATACGAGGTAGTTGAATTCAAACATGTATGACGCGAGAGGGCAGTGACGAGGAGGAGGAGGAGGAGGAGGAGGACCAGCAGGAGGAGGAAGGGAAGCAGGAGGGATGACGATGAGGAGGAGGAGGAGCACGAGAATGAGGAGGAGGAGGAGCAGCAGCAGCAGGAGGAGGAGGAGGGAAACATCGGGCAGAGAGGAGCGCAGACAAGACAGAGCGGGCAGAGAGGAGCGCAAATTCCGGACTCCGCATCAGGCAACTCCGTCGACGCCATCCTCGCTGAGGTCTCTGAAGGCCTCCATCACTTCGTCCTCAGAAGGCCTAGCGGCGGCAAGGGCTGGCAGCGCAATGGGGAGAGCAGCAGAGAATGCACAAGACGACAGAGGAGGTGGAGGAGGACTCAAGCGAGGCAGAGGACGCAGGATGTGAAACGAAAGATAATGTCTGGTGTGTCTGACATGGAGCGGAGGAGAAGCTCGAATGACAACGGGGGAGGTGGCAAGGCGTGCATGACGTGGGGTGTGAGCTAGAACGGAGGAGACACGATGACAAGGATGTTGGCACATGGTCGGCGGTGACAGCGTGGAGACGATGATAGCAATGATGTCAGAGGACAGACGTCGAAGGGCAGAGGTCAGAGGTCAGGGGCCAGGAGCTCGAGGTAGAGCAAAGGTCAGAGGTCAGAAGAAGTAGGATATGAAGAAGGTCGGAGGTCGGAGGCCTGAAGGGGTGACAGAGGAAGGTCGTAGTTCAGAGGAAAAACGAATGTCAGAAGTGAGAGTGAATGCTAGCAGATGATGGCGAGGACATGACGATGCTGATTAATGGCGCGGCGATGCAAGCGATGCAACTAGCCCCGAGCTGCATGAGCTCTGCGTCGGGAAACGCTGGCGAGAAGACCCTGAGCAACGAACGGATCCATCCCGAGCGAGGGGCCACGTGGCCAAGAGCGCCTAACGTGGAGGCGCAGGAGCACCTAGCGAGGACGCCAGAGAGCCTAACGCTCAGGCGTCGGCGCCAGCATCGCCTCTAACTCGAGCTCGAGCGAATTGGGCTGCTCCTGGGAGCTGGGCTCCACCACGGCCTGCGCGGGCGTGCTCGTCACCGCAGGAGGTTCAGGCTGCGGCTCTGGCGGCTCTGCCACTGGCGACGGAGGCAGCAACGTGAATGTGGGCGCACGCAAAAGC